AATTATGTGTTTACCTTATTTTATTGGAGCTGATTTTAACTTAGTGAACTAAAGCCTCTTGATTCTAGAAACCCCAGATCGGCGAAGCTCATTTACTCTTAGAAATCCCAAATTGACAAGCTTTTCTAATAACATTTGAAACTGAAAACATTTAGAAGATTTCGTGCATAATGGAGAGGAGAATATTAATTAGTTAATGGTAGCATGTCATATCATGCTAGTGAACTTAATTCCAACCATTTATTGATTTTTAAATCAACTTTTTAATAAAAAAATAACTATCAATTTAAAAAAATATTTAACCATCTGCGTACTAACTAGCAACAGCGGGTTTTTAACCATATAAATGCAAATAAAAGGTTTTGAATTTCATGTTGTTAGAAATTCAAGGGAAGTTTAGCCCCAAAAAATACATGAAATTGCAAGAGCACAATAAATCAAAAAGTTGAACAAACAAACAAATTAATGCGTCAAATGCAAGTAATTAACCCAAAAAGAAAAGGACAATAATAAAGATTATTAATTTGAAAGCATGATACCCAAAAATGCGTCAACCTGATAACAACCAAATAGCAACATTCCAAGGAGATTCTCCTTTATATTTCATGTAATGTCGGGATTTAGGACAAAACATACCACCTTAGACAAAAACCAGATACTCCCATTGTTAAATCAAAGTTGTTTGCATAGCTGTTTTAAAGAGATATCATTTACAGTCTAATTTGTTTTTAAAAGTTTTTTTTTATTTTTTTTGGAAATATATATTTTTAGGAATTTTTTATTTTTTTTGGAAATATATATTTTTTGGAATTTTTTTTTATAGTTTTGATGTGTTGATATTAAAGTTAACAAAGAAAAATAAAAAATTAATATTTTAATATATTTTTAATTAATTGTTTTTAGAAAAATACCATATACCAATAAACAAAAAGACTAGCTCAATCGAATTTGGTTTGAGTATATATATAAATAAGTAAAAGATTGTCAAACGCTGAAATTACGTAAATTGAAGCTAAAGTTTCATTTGAATGAAGAAACGTGAGATCATTAACTACGTACAGTCATCATCGTTGTTTTACTCATGACTTAAGAATTAAAAGTTTATATATATACAATAAACATTTAAAATCTTTTCATAATGTTAAAATAATATATATTCAACGGATGTTATATATATTAGAGAATTTATGAGAAGATGTTCACCGATAAGGAAGGAATTTATATTTAACACCTCGCACCTGCAAGTTTTAAGTCATTGCATGGTCAAACACATATTTTATCTAATTAAATAATATACTATCCAAATTCAACTAATTTTGTAGGATTTGACCACATCAAAGTGTGGTTGAAGTTAGATATATAAATTAGACTTTCGGTTACAATTAGCTATCCTCTTTTATTTTTCTAATATCAATCTTTCATTTTTAGATAAAATTTAGGGTGTTTGTTTTTGAAGTCAACAAAATATTTTTGAAAATTTTTAAATTTTTTATCTCAAATTAAATTTTTTAAAAATATTATTTTAATATATTATAAAATAAAAAATATTTAAGTTTTTTTTGCTTAATTAATTAATTAATTAATTAAACACAAGTCAATAAAGCCATTTTGTTTAGTTTAGGTGTTGACTAGGGTCAGGAGAGATTATGAATCAAGTAAAAATGATTGGAAATCACATGGGTGGGTGGTGGTTGCGAAACAGGCACGCTTTAATCGCAGGCAATTATGGACCCAATGTCAGGCTGGTCCGTGTGGATTAAACCGGACGCACCCCTCTTACGTGGACCAGCGCCGTTGGTCCATGTTCGAAAAATTTGTTTTAAAAAAAAAACAAAATTTCCAGTTGATGGCACATGGGCGTGGTGGACTTGTGGATCTGACAGCCTTCATGGTCCCTGTACTTGGTTGACTTAATTTATTGAATCCTCCAATTTCTTATTTGATGAATTGGGTCCATCTTACAACTTGTGGTTAAGGTAGACCCTTTGTTTCCAACATTTTCACTCACATTCAATTGTACTGTAATTTAATTTATCAACTTAATACAATGAGCTAGATTGCATTTTAAAAGAGAAAAATAATAATGAAGTTGATGAATTTAAATAATTAATGAAGTATTTTATATTATTCTAAGAACTTGTTTGGCAATAAAATTACAAGTGTTTTTTAAATAACTTTTCGTTTTGAAATGTATGTCAATGATATTTTTTTATTTTTTAAAAATTATTTTTCATATCATCACATAAAAACGATTCAAAACATACTAAATTTTAGTAAAATAATTTAATTTTTTTGGGAATGTGGTTTGCACCGCGTTCCCAAACATGCTCTAAGCAAATTAATGTTGATATTCAATTACTAGATAATAAATAATTTAATCACTCTCATGTAAAGTGATATAAAAAAAATAACATAATATTAAATTTATAACATGTAATTGTTAATTTTAACAGTGTAGATAGCTGAACATTAATTGAAACTAAAAAAATCACATATTAGCTTTCTATTATTCTAATATTTTCCAGAATTCCATCACATTATAGTTAAACACAAAAGGGTTAGGGGAATTACCTAGATTTTAATTAACATTTATGGGGCCCAATAGTGGAGCTAAAAGTTTAATCTATAGTGGATTAAAATGCTAATTAAATGTATAAAAAAACATGATCTAATTGAAAATCATCTCTAACTAAGTTACTGCAAAACCCATATTTGAAGGACTAAAGTAACTCAAATTAAAGTTGAAGAACTACATCATAATTCTACATGACATGCTACTCGGTAAATTGTTCGGCTCCCTTTCATATTTAAGAAAAGAAAGAGTAAAAATTCATTTAGCACAAGAAGAAATTAGTGTAAAAGAAAGTTGAGCACTCAAATGTAATATTTTCATAAATTATTAATCTGATGGAAAACTCCTAAATTATTATATGCTGTGATTGAAATTGGAATAGTTATTAATTTTTAAAGTGTTTTTTATTTTAAAATATATTTAAATATTTTTTTAATTTTTTTATATATTGATACATTAAAATAATTTAAAATTATAAAAATTAATTTAAAATTATAAAAATTCAAAAAAAATATTTAACCATAAAGTTACTAATCGGTTGATCTTAAAGTCAACTTTAACTCCACCTAATTTTTTCCGTTCTTTCCGCCAAATTTCAAATTATCGGAGATAATCTCCTCAGCTAATAATTAAAGGTAGTTTAGTGGGCACGTAAAATAGGTTTAAAGTTAATGAAATGACACAACTTAAAACAAGAGCATTGATGTAGCTAGCGCGTGCTTAATAAGATGTGTAATGTTTTTTTAAAATTATTTTTTTATTTTAAAATATATTAAAATAATTTGTTTATTTTCAATGTAAATACTTTAGAATCATAAAAAAAATAAAATAAAATAATAAAATAATATTTTTTTCAAGACAAACATACACTTTTAAAACATATCTAAACACCATTAAAATATAATTCAGACTCTTTGGCCATGAAAGAGGAAGATTATAATGCTAATTGCTAGCAGTAGTATTATTTCTTAAAATTAATTTTAATTTTGGATCATTATTCCTACTCCAATTGGGATTAAATTATTCTTTATGGTCGCCTTTTTGCATTTTTTTTTTGCCTTTTTATGGGTGTAAATTGTATTTTTTAAAAAATTAATTTTTTTATATATTTTAAATTATTTTAATATAATGATTTTAAAAATAATTTTTTTAAATAAAATATATCATTTTAATATATTTTAATATAAAAATATTTTAAAAGATAATTATAATTATATTCTCATGTATACTTTTTCCCTGTATCCATCACCGACCCCATCAAATCTCTTATAGGCCTCCACTGGAAATCACAACCGCTGATCACGCCTCAACTTCTGCTTGATGCAATGCTAGTATTGGTGTTTGTAGTTGTTTTTTATATGTTTTTTATTTAAAAATATATTAAAATATTTTTTTATTTTTAAAAATTTATTTTTAATATTATTATATTAAAATAATATAAAAACATAAAATAAATTATTATTTAAAAAAAAAAACATGATGATGTTATCTTAAAAACAAACAGTACCAACCTTACTTTTATATCATATCATGTACTGAATTTGTACCTTTTTATGATAATAATACTACTACTACTTTTTCCACGTACTATCCTCTTGGTTGCTTCACTGAGGTCACGTTAAGTCATTGGGATGACAATTTAGGAATAGGTTAATTTTTTTAAATAATTATTTTATATGATGAATAATAAATAAAATATAAATATTGTTAAATTTAAATTATCATAAACTTGAGAAACATATTTATATTATATATATATATATGTATATGTATGATATACATATATATATTATCTTAATTTTTTATTGAATATTAAATAATAATCAAATAATAAATGCTCAATACTCAGAACTTGATAAACAATATATGAGTTTCCTTACTTTATAAATAATAACTAGAATATGCATACATAAAAAAACGCGGTCTGTGGATTCCAGTGACGTCCCTATTAACTCAGCATATAATACAGTAGCCGTCAAGGGCATTTATGTCTCATCGTGCGCAAATAGCAGGACTCGCATATGTATTATCATCGAATTTAAATAATACAATGCTCGCCAGCAAACCCCATTTTGTTTTATTATTCATTTTTTTCATCATTTGATACTAGTAAATAAAAAGAAATCACTAGTACTAGTTTTTTTTTTTTAAAGTTTAGCATTAAGAGCTTGTAAAATATAATTTCCAGTCAATTCGGAGATAGGCTTCCAAATTTAAGGAAAAGGCTACACATATGCGTATAAGGTTTATGATTGGATAGTGTTAGATACGTGCCAGAAACAGGGATTGGAGGAGTTAATTTTGTTCTTTGCTTCCTCTTTTTTTTTTTTTTTTTTCACACACGAAGAAGAGCATTAATGATAGTTTTGTTGGAAAATTCCAAGTGGTGTCCTTTTAGCCTGCCTTGCCTCCTCTTTAAGTAGTGAAGCTCCCATGCCTTGAGCCCTTCACACCTTCCCATTATCCCTCTCCCTCCCCCTTTTCCCTCTCTTTCTGACTAAAGTAGAAGGGTGTTTCTGTAGTAGTGAAGAGGGAAAATGGCAACGAGTAGGTTGCTTTGCTTTACAACTACTCTACTGATAATGATGTCATTGATGTGGAAGGGTGAAGCTAGAATCCCTGGTGTTTACAGTGGGGGTGCTTGGGAAACTGCTCATGCTACCTTCTATGGTGGTGCCGACGCCTCTGGCACCATGGGTCTGTATCTGTATCTATCTTACTACCCACATTAATTAAACCTGATCAATTGAGCTAGGTCTTAATCTCGATTAATTAGCTTTTAACAGTTTGTTTTTGACTTGAAATCTCATAATGTGGGATGCATCCGTCTGAAAATGAAGCTGCTGCGTGCACGTACAATTTTAGCCACCAGTGGATGTTAATAAGAGTAATTAATCTGTATTTGTGTGCAGGAGGAGCTTGTGGATATGGAAATCTATACAGCCAAGGGTATGGAGTGAGCACTGCAGCTCTAAGCACTGCACTGTTCAACAACGGGTTAAGTTGCGGTGCTTGCTTTGAAATAAAGTGCGCAGATGACCCACAATGGTGCCACTCAGGCAGTCCATCAATTTTAATTACCGCAACCAACTTTTGCCCACCAAATTATGCGCTTCCTAGTGACAATGGAGGCTGGTGCACCCCTCCTCGCCCCCACTTCGACCTCGCCATGCCCATGTTCCTTAAGATCGCAGAGTATCATGCCGGTATCGTCCCTGTTGCCTACCGCCGGTCAGTGACTTTTTAAACTCTGTTTTTCTCTGTTCTTGCCCTGTTTACATATGGCTCTAGATTCGAACTATTTCAGTTAACACTCGGAAAACAATACTACCGCCTTCTTTTCTAACTTTACACTACGTAGAGTTTTGGTTTTTTGTTTTGATAAACATCCGAATTTGGATACATTGGACTCTGTAAATATATACTAATTTTACCACTCATTTTAGTCGTCGTCCCCTTCGCAACATCATTTCTTCTCCATATATATGATGCTCAGGACTCCTAGCAAGAAAAACTTCCATGCCAAGATTTAATTTGGCCCAATAAACCCTTATGGTTCTGCAGCAATAAAAATGTATTCAAAATGTTGGTAAAGGGAGATCCAGAATATGTGCGGAACACACCCTTTTTTTTGGGTGGGGCGTTATCGCTTTTGTCAACAAAGTTCCTATCTTTAAAGTCTCATTGAGACCCAAACAGGATAGGCTCAGGCTGGTGGTATAATCACACAAATCCTGTTGGGTTTGTTAGACCTCAACAACTTGTGCTGTGTCATTTTGCTTATTTTAGCCATGGGACAGTTTATGGTCACTTTCTGCGGTTTGTCTGGACTCTCACTGCCCATCTTTAACGCTAAAAGTACCAATCCACCCTCGCCCATCACAGTTAGTGTTTCCATGCTAAAATCACGCCCCGGAATATATGCTTAGGCTTGAACTTTTTAATAATTTATATTTTTTTTTTTGCAATTACGAAAATGTCGCAACGGTGCTGATGTCGTGCAATGCAGAGTGCCATGCCGGAAGAGAGGAGGCATAAGGTTCACAATAAACGGATTCCGTTACTTCAACTTGGTATTGATCAGCAACGTGGCGGGTGCAGGGGATATCGTGCAGGTGAGCGTGAAAGGTTCGAAGACTGGCTGGATGAGCATGAGCCGTAACTGGGGTCAAAACTGGCAGTCAAACGCCGTTCTGGTTGGTCAGTCACTCTCTTTCAGGGTCAGGGCCAGTGACCGACGCTCTTCCACTTCATGGAACATTGTCCCTGCCCACTGGCAGTTTGGTCAGACTTTCACCGGCAAGAATTTCAGGGTCTAATTCTTTCTTACTTTTTATTTTAACTACCACCGTTTATCTCCACGGTCAAGAACCTAAAAATTCAAGTTTCCCGCCATAATTTCTTATTTCCGTTTTTACCCTTCTCGGCTCGTGTTTTTTTTCCGGTGGGTTGTTGTTGGGATGTGAAAGTAAAAGGTGAGGCTATAATTAGTAGGGACTTCAAAAATGGAAAGTGAAAATTGGGGGACTGTTTTTTTTTGTTTTTTACTCTCTGATTGGTGTGTTTCTCGACTTTCAAGATCTGGTGAGGCGGAGGCGGCTGCGCAAACGATGGTTAGCCCGCTGGTACTAATACTATATACATACGTGTAGTGATGTATGGTGATGGTATACGTTTTGAGAAGTGTATTGTAGTAATTTATAGTAGTTGATCAAGTGCAAGGATATTTGGTTTGTTTTTCCATGTTCCTGTGTTCCTTGGTTTTTTTTTTTTTTTTTTTTCTCTTGGGCCAAGTAAAAATTAAACTAAATACATTTCAAATAAAGTGAAAAAGAATCAAGTATGATTGGACTTTGCGATGAGGCTATTAACAAAAGGAATAAAGGATGCATACGAAGGAACCATCATCTAAATGTTTGTTTTAAATGAAAGACATTCTTTCTGTTTTAAAATCCAACCCAAAATTCAAAATTCATCTGGAAATATATATTTATATTTTTTAATATAAATATAATATATATATATGTATTATTGAATAATAAATAATAATTAGATAATTAATATCTATGAATATCCAAAATTTAATGAATAATGTATAAATATTTAAATTTCTGCGGGTAAGTTATAAATATTAAAGAAATCCAACATGTATTCACCCATCATCATTTCTAACTACAATTGATTAAGGAAATTCACGAGTAATTGCAAATGTTGAGGATTAGGATTTCTAACTAAGTGGTGAATAACTTTAACCCGGATGAATAAAATATGATTTTACATAATAAAAGGAATGTGCTATATTGTACAAGTAAAATTATGAATCATATTATAAATATACTGTGGACAACATTATAGTATTATGAAGCACTGTCTTTGCTGTTTTATAGTTACATTCTTTCTGTTTTGAAATCCAACCGAAAATCTAGAATTCATCTGGAAATATATATTTATATTATTTAAATATATTTATATGAATATCCAAATTTTAATGAATAATGTGTAAATATTTAAATTTCTATTGGTAAGTTATAAATATTAAAAAAATCCAACATGTATTCACCCATCATCATTTCTAACTACAATTGATTAAGAAAATTCACGAGTAATTGCAAATGTTGAGGATTCTATCTAAATAATAAATAACTTTAACCTTGATGAATAAAATAATAAAAGGAATGTACAAGTAAGATTATGAATCATATTATAGATACACCATGGACAACATTATAATACTATGAAGCATTGTCCTTGCTATTTTGTAGTTAAAAATTATTGTTGTTTTTGTTTTTTTACATCAAAAACTGCTCAATTTAGCTTTGTAGTTAAACCTAGTTTTATTGGGTTTGTTGGGCTTAGTTAGGCAATTAGGCTCAACATTGTTGGATTTGACTTGAAAGCCAGATTAAAATCACTTCTAAAATGTATAAGGCTTGATTTCAAAGCTGGATATAAATCGCTTAAATACAAATACAAATATTTATTTAAAAATGGTGTAGGCATCTAAAACTTTAAATTTTTTAAAAATAATGATTATGAGCCTCATATAAAAAAAAGACAATGATTAATGAATAAATAGTAAAAGAAGATTAGTGAATGAACATTTATATACAATAACTTTAACTTTGATGAATAAAATATGATTTTACATAATAAAGGAATGCGCTATATTGTATAAGTAAGATTATGAATCATATTATAGATACACTGTGGATGATATTTTAATACTATGAAGCATTATCCTTGTTGTATTGTAGTTACAAATTATTATTGTTAGGAGTTGTTTTTTTTTTATTTTTTGTGCCAAAAGCTACTCAATTTAGTTTTGTATTTAGACCTGGTTTTATTGGGTTTGTAGGGCTTGGTTGGGTAACCAGACTCAACGTTGTTGGATTTGACTTGAAAATTATATCAAAATCACTTCTAAAATGTATAAAGCCTGGTATAAAAGCTGGATATAAATCGCTTCAATACAAAAATAAATGTTCATTTAAAAATGGTTTAGATCTCTAAAACTTTAAATTTTTTTTAAATAATGACTATAAGCCTTGTATAAAGGAAAAACAATGATTAATGAATAAATAGTGAAAGAAGATTAGTGAATGCTTTGTTATAATTTTAAGATATAAAATGATGCATAACTTTTTATTTTTAAACATATATTAATATGTTTTTTTTTTCACAAGAGTAATTTTTAAGTATAAAAAACTAAAAATTTAAAAACAATCATAATAAAATCAATGACATATAGGGATATCGTTTCAATAAAATTCATGATATAAATGTCTATGTGTGCATAAAGATTTTGAACTTGAGTTACATAAAAATTAGCATTTTCAGCATATGTAATTAAAAAAATAACAAAAAACTAATTATTTTATTAAAATAAAAACTTGATTAAATAATATTTTTATCTGTTATTTAAATTGCTTTTAAATCTTTGAAATTAATCAATTTAAATCAGGTTGGTTTTCACACAATATAATTAAAAACTTGAATTAAACAAAAAAAAATTAAGTAGGGAAATTTCAATATTAATCTACATAGTTAAATTTAATAACATTACGGGCTCTTGACCTTTTTTCTACATTTAATAAAATAGATTTGATGTATAATGGAGCGCGGGACATATATTTGTTTCTCTTCTAAACTGTATAGTTGGTTTTTGACGGGTGAGCGTCAGTTACCAAAATCCAACCGTTCATTTTAGCAAGATTCTCATCTATGTGTATGGCTGGAAACCAAACTAATTGCAAAAATACAAGAATTAAACATAATCGCATGGAACACAGGTAGGACAAATATATGAAGGCTTCCCAGATTTAAGAGAAAGTTCATAAATGTCTTTAATTTATTATTTTTTTAACCCTTTGCTCCATCCAAGAATAAGCTATTGCGTCGTGTTCTGTTGAGGAAATTGGGTGTAAACCCTGGTACAAGGGTTGCAGATTCCATTGGAAGGACATCAGGGGAAAAGACAAGGAACGAAAGGGAGAATCTAAGAAAGCACCAGTTCACTTAACTATCCATTAGCCAGGGTATTTCTGTAGGAACTGAGCATGACTATTTGGAAGGGACGAACTCATATCCAAGGGATCTTAATTGATCTAGGTCTGATTTTCACCTTCATCAGGATCATAATCAACTTCCTCTGCTGGAACTTAATCAATTAGCCCGTTAGTTATAGATACCAGCAACTAGAAACATGTCCAGTAACTTTGGGATTCGAAGATGTCATCTAGTACCCATTTAGCAGGAGAGGACAGAAGTCACAGAACAACATTTATGGAGGTGTGAATCCCATTTCCTTCGAGTAACAAGTTCTTTACCAGCAAGTGCAGCAACATGTAAAGTCACATCACAGGAAGGCTGAATACGCGTTTGCATTAAGCAAAACACATTTGCACATGGAGTGGGGTTGGGTCTGTGAATGCTGTGTGTTACATGTGAGTAGAATCTTGTTGCTCTGTTGCGTCTTTTGTCCATTTTGCGACGCAAAAGATAGACCTTCGGATCCCTTCAACCTGAAAAAGGAAAAACGAACACCACTTTGGATACCTTGCCTTGCACAAATTTCCTCCTCTCTTTGCACAGTTCGGCTGTGGGGCTCAAATGATTCCTCGTGATATGCGCTCATTATGTGCCTTCATGTGGTAACTGTGGTGCTAGAGTACTGATTGAAGAAGAAGCCTACACCTAGAATTTGTCCATGAATAAGTAACATGCTTTTATATATATGAAAACCTTGATTCTTGAACCTTGAATCACCTTGGACGAGCCACTCTAGCCTTACTCCTAGAATGATATTTTGTCGTTGATTCCCTATCAGCAATGCTGTCAACCCATGTGTAATCAGAAATCTGACAAAATAGATTGAAAAAAAAAAAGCTCTTAGGAAACAAAAGATTTAAATTATTTAGTGATAGTCCCATGACTGATTTTATGCGGACTTTCCAACCAGAGGAGAACCCAAATTCTAAAAGAGAAAATTGTATATGAGGTTTCCATGATAACACTACAGAAAATACAATTTTCTATTGCTCTAGATGTAATAGGGTACTCGAAGATGAATTATATGTCAATTTTGAAATGTGATTTTGTTTTTCAAAGTGGTTTTTAGTTAGAAATGTATTAAAATAATATTTTTTTTATTTTTTAAAATAAGCACATAAAAATAATCTAAAAATACTAAAAAATATTAATTTAAAATAAAAAAATAAAAAATCTTATTTTTTTTTGTAAAAGTAATGAGAGACTAACCAAGTGAAAGGAGTGCGTCCATACCATGAGCCTTTCTTCAGCAGACCTTGGTCCGAGCCCACTGAGCCAATCTTCGTAAGGCTCTGTCACGTTGCTTATGTCCATCCTTGCACTACCCAAGCCTTATACTGGGACGAAGCCCACCATTAATCTAAATTGGTATGCAACTTCGACCCATGTCAAAATCAAGAAAAATAAAATGAGCTACTACTTTATAATAAAATTACTTGTTACTCGATTAATTTTAGTTACAAGCCAAAACTTCAAATCTTGTTTTTTTTTTTTCAATTACAAGCACAATACTAAACAATCACTTAAGGTTGGGAATGCTTAACTTGGATATCAACGAATACATACAAAACAAGTCATTTATTTGATGTAAAAGATCCTTCAAAACTTAAATTGATATTAATATCAAGAAAATAAGCTTTAAAATTATATTATGCTTATTTATAGAATACAATTTAAAAAAAAAAAAAATTATTCTAAAAAAGTTAATTCATTATCTTGAGATTCTTCTAAAAAAGTTAATTCATTATCTTGAGTTGAGTTTAAGGGTATTTATAAAATCTTGAATTCACACTGTTCAGGCAAATATAAAATAATTAATATATTTATTATTTATAATTTATAATTTTAGACTACTTAAAAATACGAGTTTATAGTGACAATTTAACTACTATAAAATCTATCAAAGTTTAGTAGATTGTATATTATTAATGATGATCATAAATTCAATACTCAAGGAATATATAATCATGAAATATAACTTAATTTAATACATTTATGTTTTGTCATCATAATTTATAACAAATAGATTGAATTTGAACTGAAAATAATAATTGACTTCAAGACGTGTTTGCTCATTTAACATTAAGTCTAGATAGGATCTCAATAAATCTTCTATATGAAGTTATTATCTTATTGGATTTTATAGATATAAATCTACTTGTAAATTTTAATTTAATCTGATTACATGAACAATACTA